GCTTACATTTTATCACCCCCTTTAATAAGCAATACAACTCGCTAAGTTCTAGTTAATATAAATTTTGGAACTAAATAAACTGATTTAATTCAGGATGATTTTATGCTTCGTATAAGAGTCGGATAAAAGTACATGTTCGAGTTTGCGCGCCCAAAACAATATTGGCTTGTACTGTGTTCACTCTACACAAGGTATGATGAAAGATAAAAACCGTCCCAAGGGCCCAATGACTTCTTATGCATGTTTTGTCCAAGTCATTAGAGAAGAGCACAAGAAAAAGCACCCTGGCGAGAATGTTGTATTTAGTGAATTTACAAAAAAGTGCGCGGAAATATGGAGGGTTGGTTTTGTTCATTTCCTCATTTTGTTACAGAAAATGACGCCTAAAGAGAAAAAACGCTTTGATGACATGGCGCAACTTGATAAAGAGCGTTACAACAGAGAAATGCATGAATACATTCCCTTGGAGGGCTTCCGCAAGGGTAAAAGGCGAAAGCGAACGAAAGATCCTGGAATGCCTAAACGAGCTTGGTCAGCATTCTTTTTTTTCTGCGACGAATATCGTCCGAGAATCCGTGAAGAACATCCTGAATGGAAAGTAAGCGACATTGCGAAAGAATTGGGGCGCAAATGGGAGGAATGTTTAAACAAATTGAAGTACGAACAAAAGGCGATGAGTGATAAACATCGCTACGAAGAGGTTTGCTATTGAGGCTTTTTAAATAGATGATTCAACTAATTTTTTGTTTTATACTATGCTTTTGTTACGTTATTTTATTGTTCGACTTTAGGACATGCAAAAATACAAATTGGGGACGTATGTTCCTCCTAAGCGACCGAGAATTGGATCGATTGGTTTTGACAGTAGTTCTTTATCTACTGCAGATACTGATAATTCTGTAAACATTTCTGGGTTGGAAAATAGCCTTGGTGCTGTCGATGAGGAGGATGAAGAAGAAGATGTTGATGATACTGAGGGTGAACTCCAAGGAGAGGAAACTGGGCATACCGGGCCTATCATTGCATTGTCGTCGCCTCAGGTGATTAATCGTGCAAGCGAGATAGAATCTGCACTGCCCCCCTCCGATAGTGCCGCCGATGTGTCTGAGACAGCCTCAGTTTCATCTGCTGTAGAGAAAGAAAACACATTAGAGCCATCATCCTTTAAGGAGAGCGCTTGCTTGCATGAATCAGTCCGAATTTCGGATGAAAATTTACCACACATTAACTTGATGGATTCTCATATTGAATCTTCGAAAGAAGAGACAGAACAGATTGTGAAAAATGATGCTACAAATCTTCCTGTTCTCGAAACTCCTATCGAATTATACTCTGAAATCTAAGTGCAATGAATAATTGTGAGCTTTAGCCTTGTAAAATCGTCACTTTCCATTTTGTGTTTATGTTGATTTGTCTTATTTGCTATTTTACGATTCATTGTGACCCCGATCATATGTTATCAGAATTACCTCATGTTTATACATATGTATCCTTTGTTTACAGTCATCTTGTACATTTTTATTTGTTAATATTTCTGTAAATAAATATATGATTTTCTGTTCTGTCGTATTTAACT